CCGGATGCGTTGGGACCAGTTTGATGCTCTTCAAGCTGCTTTCAGCTACACTGCGCTGATGAAGCAAGCTTAGGGACTTATAAGTACCATAGTCAGGAATCTCAGTGAGACCGGAGGGGAAAAACCGTGTCCTTTGAGGCACGTGGAATAAAAACCCCCCGAGAGAAGAAGGCCCCGGCAGCACAGGATGCGGCCAGGCCGCCCCCCGGCCAGACGGGCAGAAAAGAAGGAACCCCGGCACCACAGGGCGCGGCCATGCCGCTCCCCGGCTCAGGCGGGCGAAAGGCGCGAAAGAAGGAACCCCGGCAACACAGGGCACGGCCATGCCGCTCCCCGGCGCAGGCGGGCGAGAGAAGTGAAAGAAAGGAAAGCGCGCGGCTCAGACTCTAGAGGCTCAGACAGTCAGGGAGTCACGGGGCCGACGCCGTCTGGAGCAGAGAAGAGGTCCGCACATCACCAAAAGCTCACGGTGCAGACAGGGCGGCCTGGGCCGCACTGCGACCTCCCACAGGCTCGGGGGCCCGCCGGAGCACTGCCCGAGCGTTTTCCCTCTGCAGACAGACGCTGAGAGACTTGCAAGCTGCTTCCTCAGGATGCGCCTCCGGGCGCTTTCGGCAGAGTGCCGTCACGGCCTGGATCACCTGCCAGCTTGGAGGCTCGCATTCAGCGCCGAAAGCTGAAGGCGCAAGGTGACCAAAGCGATTCGATTGACAAAAGCCTCGAAGGGGAAGGATGCGGGGCATCGCAAGCAGTCTTCGCCTCCGCTCGCCTGCAATGATCAACTGCTCGTGGTGGAGATGCTGCTGCTGTTCCAAGGTGCGACATCTTTGCAATGGCAGTTCTGCCGCGAACCCACAGCCGATCTTTGAGGCTGCCGCAGCTCACGATGTTCTAGCAAATTTCCATCTCCTGCTGGCACACATCGACTGCAGTCTCACTATGTATTGCCGTGACCCAGAGCTCAGGCTGCAAATGGAAAACGCGATCGCGCCATCCTCCTGTCCGCCCCATGGGTGGTTCCCTGACATCATGACGTAGAGCATGATGCCGAATGCCTCGGCAGCACCGCTAAAGCACACTGCAGCTGAAGCAAGGTTTGCTAGCGCAGCATGCTCCGCAAAGCATTTTACCAAGTACTTTTGGGACGCCACTGCAGACACTGCACTCAGAGCGCAGCCCACCAGTCAGCAGCGTGGTTCCGGCCCTGTCGGGCATGCTCCCTAGCAACAGGGACACTTCTGAGTCCCCAAACCCCCATACCCTGTGGTGTTCGTTGCACGCCTTTCGCAACAGGAACTCCGGCGCTGCATACTCAGGGGTTCCACAGACCTTCGTTGACACAGGCGCCCGCATAAAACAACAAAATTGAAGTGAAAACACCTGCATGCCGCCTCTAACCCTGCACTCTCCGGCTGGATTATGGCCACGATGTGATCGGCAAGCCCCAGAAATGCAGAGGCTTGAGTTTAGGGTGGCTGCCGAATTTGAGTGACATGTTAGTGGTATGTATAGTGGTACACACTCGACAGCATGGAGCCTTCACACCAAACGCCCGGCTCGCGTACGAAACGAAGCATAAGCCGGCACCTTAGCCAGATCGGAGTGATGCAACGCGACTAACTCTCTCGAAAGCGCCTTCTATGGCAAATACCACCAGACATGGCTCTATTGTAGTTTCCCAAAATAGGGGACCCCCATCTAGACCCCAAAATATTGCAGTCCTTACTATAGGAACCCCCAATAAGGTACTCCCAATTTTGGGAAACCCCCCTCTTGTATGTTGCAAAAGGCAGAACATCAACTCCTCCATTACACGTGCTTGGGGATCTAGATTGGGGTCCCCATCTTTTGGGAAACTACCACATGGCTTGTAGCTGCACTAAAACTGCTTGCCATTGCCTCGGCGATATGCTTCTCAAGTCCTTGCACAAACCATGCGAAAGATCCATCGTTTCTCCCCTCGAAAAGGCTGCAAGGCTGTCCATCCCCACTTGCTTTGCACTGAGCACAGTCCACTAACCTCTATGCTACCCCAAATTTGCCAAACCCTCACAACTCCAAGATCCAGAACGAGTTTGCAGCCCCCGGAGCCAGGAATCGGCATCTTGGGGTCTGAGAACAATAAACTTGGCAATAGCTGCGCGCGTGCACTCTTGCGGATGTGGAGGGCAACCAGCGCTACGTAACAGTTGGGCAAGATTTGGCACAGATTGCGGCAGCATTTTCGCTTGCATGGCCTGGGCGGCCTCGGTGGAAGATCCTGCCACCGTCTGAGGCGCTGACGTCCAGGAAGTCACAAACGAGATTCCTCATCCTTAGACACTGCCCACCTACACTGTGATGCAACGTTGCACAGCTCACCAACTTCATGAAGTCCAAAGACCGGGCGGTGCTACGCGCTATCGGTAGATTTGGTTGGGTTCTACAGGCTTGCGAATGGCGACTAGTTGCAGGTCTAAGAGGCCCAGGGAAAAGCTCCAGACTCTCGACCTGCCCCATGGGCTTGCATACGTGGACTGGGTGGGCAAATGTCCCTTGCCTTTTGGTTGCTGCACTCGACCGGCCAAGCTGGCACTTGCACCACGTCCTGAAGCACGAACCCTATAAACCCTAAACTCTATGAACCCCAAACCCTACAAACCCTAAGCCCCATTAACCCTAAACCCTAGAAACCTGGTTTGTTCACGGCACTTGGAGGAGACTTGACGGGACCCTGTCCTTGCCCGAACAGATCATCGATGGACTTGTCTCCGACTGGTCGACTGACCTCAATGTGGACGCATGAAGCTGGACAATGTAAGAGTGCCGTCGCTCGTCCCCTGCACGTCCACAAACTTGGCAAGGCACGCCAGTTGCTCAAATGCCCCTGCCGAATATTGAGGATGCATCAAAAGCTAGACACGGGCTGGTACAAACCCCAAAGCTTAGGCCTCGTCGTCTTCGTCGGAATCGTCATCATGCACCTGCCGACGAACACGTTTGTCGGGATCTCGTGGGGCCTTCAAGCTCCAAGGGTCCCGCCATCAAGTCCTCAGTGGGGCATGAGCCATGGCCGAAATCTACACATGGCAAAGTGGGCTAGTACCCGACCTTCGTTGTTCAGGTCCCCGTTTGTTTTACCGGGTTTTAGGCACAAGGGAACGATGTTTCGTCTTCGAAGGTTTTATCCCAATACCTCAAACAAGATAATGGCAAACATGAGGGTGTCAGGAGATTGCTCGTGCTAAAGGAGCACAGACCGGTGGCACAGCTGCCGGCCGTTTACTCCTGCTGCCATTGTCAAAAATACAAACTTCACCTGTCACTGCGGCGAAATGTACCCGACTTGACAAAAATGCTTTCTGCAATGTTGGGCTTCGCATGTGCCCTATTCTCCTTCGGTTTAACACACATGATCCGGTCTAGAGTGTCTGCACAGAAGCTCTGCCGGCCCCTCTCACCTTCTACAGTCTGTATGCAATTTTAGACTTCGTTTGCAGGTCCCCTTCGTGTTACAAGGTTTCCGAAACGGTCCATCCACCAAGGTGCTGATGTCTCACATGTCGTTGATGGAGTTTCCAAAAGATGCTCCTGCTGGCACCTGTCATGTTGCAATGACCTCCTGACCGTGCAGAGCTGCGAACTATTCTCGGACCTCGTTGCGACTTTGGTGCGTGGAGTGCATGGCTCATCCACACACTGAGGCTGTAAGCGCCCCATTGTCGATATCACTTGTGCCTCAGCGCCGACCTTGCACTGTGGGAGCACAGGGGAAACGTACCCATTGAAATGCTTCGAGGCTTCGGCGCAAGGTGGAGCCAAAACCCACCTGCCTTGAAGCAACACGGCCATGCTTCCCGCTACCCACGGCAAGTTGAGGGTCAGTGCAAAAAGCGCAGCCAAGCCACGTTCGATGACCTCAAGTTACGCAGAACAATCATGACCTGTGATAGCAACGACCATGACCTGCCGACGGGGGGCCGCCGACGAACCGCGGTGGCATGCGTCGCACACCCAGGTTGATGGTTGGCCTGAAGCGATATGACTAGCGAAAGTCTCAATGCAAACAATTCCGAGGTCTGCACAAATACCAGGTTGGACCTCAAACCACTTTGCATGCACCATCCTGCATGTTTCAGTCCGAACAACCCTGAGCTTCGAGCCGATTGTTCGTGAGACCTGAGAAGTGGCTCATCTCTTGATTCTTCCAGTGGCTTGGAATCACGGGCTTGCTCCTTACAGTGCCCAAAAAGCCAATACGACCTCGGTAACTCAACAAGCAGAGCTCTAGTCACGCCAGGGTGCCACAATGGGCGACGCCACCCCGTGCGCAGGCACTCTGCCAGGTGGAGATGGCGCCATGTTACAGATCTCCCGAGGAACCAAGACGTTGAAAAGAGTCTACCTGCTCCAGACGTGCGCTGAACCTCGCTGAATACCCAGCTGCATTCCCTATCACCTGCTTCAAGAACTGCGCGAAGATCCGCTCGGATCTTTGTTTGTGCCACCCTATGGGCTCATGTTCCAGAGGCTAAAGTTGCTTCTTGGGCTGCCTACTGCTTTCGAGTGTCACATCCCGGAACTTTTGAGGATGATGATGAGAGAAACCACATCATGTGTGAAATCCTTGACTGGTGTTGCTGTCTAAACGGCTAGCGGCGGATGGGAAAGAACGTGCTGCCGTGTGCAAGCAGACATCGAACGCACTTGCCAGTTCTACGACACACAAACTTAGCATGACATGGGACGCCAGGTGTTTGGATGCACCACATTCCGCACACGCCATGGTACCGGGGATCAACCACCGGCATTTAACCAAGTGCACTCGGGCTCACACATTACGTGTCTATCTGCCCAATCATGCAGCATGGAACAAACTTACGGCGGCAGCCGATACAAGGCGGCGGGCGGGTGCAACTGAGGCAAGACAGTCCAACACTAGCAACACTAGACACAGGCAACCAAGCAAACCTGCACAATGACGATGAAAACTTCAAAGACAGCAAGGCTCAACTCCCTCTCTATCGCTCGCTCTCGCTCTTCCTGGAGAGAGGGAGGCAAGCAGCGTTGCTCTTTCTGAGAGCGAAGAAACACCCCCTTTCACCCCCGACGCGAGCACGCACCAGCCAGTTAACAGAGATGCAAGGAACACAGGCACAGGCAAGCCCTATCCGCATGGTAACAGGCATCGACCACTGTGTGTCTCGCTCTTCTCTCTTGTCATCTTCCTCCCTTGTCATCTCCTCATTCTTCAACATCACCACACGAGTTGATGCCAGCAGGACAGGATAGCAAAGGACGTCGATGCCGTACTTCATCAGCAACCTCCGTTGCCAGAAAGAGTTGCTCTCTGTCTCTCTGTCTCTGCTGCGCGGAACTGGGCCGCACCTCGAGAGGAGCATCGGCCTCGGCTCCCGACCACACGCCGGAGACCGTCCCGCAGCACCTCGCTTTCGATCGCTTGAGCTGCCATCGTCACCGTCGTCACCGAGCACCCTCGCCTGGTGTAGCATGTAGAGGTGGCCACCACGGAAAAGGCCGCGAGGCCTTCACTGCTGTACCTAAAGACAGTGTTTGCGCAGCATTGCAGTCCGCTCCGCAGTCCGCCCGGCGGTCCGAGTGGCGTGTGGGCAGCCGGCGAAAGGACGCAGTGAGAAGGAGGCCCGTGGCCGAAGCCCGTCCCTCCTGACAACCCGCGCGTCCCAAGAGCAGCGGCTGCCTGGGCCTTTCCTCGTCGCAGAGCAACCTGACATTGTTTGCCACGGGTAGGACGCCTGAGCGCCGCGGCGCTGCCGGCTCAAAGCTGTGGGGTTCACTGGGCTCCACGGCCAGTTGCAGGGGCGAAGGAAGAAAGGACGGGAGGCGATCACCTTCAAACGACGAAAAGAGGCCGCACGCCGTTTCTGGAGCGTCAGGCTGAGGCCTAGACCTGGGATCCCTTCCGTCTCTGACCTGACTGAACAAAGACATGCCAGACATTCCAAACCATGCCGGCCTGCCGGCATTTGCCTCCTTGGGCTCCTCCGGAACAAAAGCTCCTTCGGTAGCGTGGCCCTAACTGCCCTGCAGCCTCCTTGGCGGCACAATTGCCCATGGCGCATCGAACCGCCCAAATGGTGCTTCTCTCTTGCTTTGCTCCTTTCCGAAAGCTTCTGATCTGAATCACTCTGGGTTCCATATATCTTCACGTTCATGTGGCCTGCCTTGATGGGCGACATTGAAATTGAGCCCGGCAAAGGAACTTCACCACAGCAGACAGGCTGCTACACGGATACACGCACGCACGCGCACACGCATGCACGGGCAAACATGTTAATGTAATATCTTTATATATATATATATATATTATATATACATATATATATATAAGAGGGTCGAGATATGGAGGGTCGGCCCGGGAACTCCCTTTCGGACCCTGTTTGGTGGGTCCGATTGGGTATACTTCCCATGGGTTCCCGTCGATTTGGCCCGACCATCTCGGACCCACCCAATCGGACCCTGCTCTGTGGCTTGCTGTTGCGCCACCCGGCGTCGCCCACCCCTGTGCGAGCGGAGTCTGAATGGGTCGGGCCACCCTTTCGGACCCTGTTCCAAAAGATACCCGGGGACACCCTCCAGGACCCTGGATAGCTCTACTAGCTTATATGAACGAATGAACGAATGAATGCTTGAATGAGGGATTCGGGATCGGGCATCCTGGCACCGGGACACATTCGCCGCGTGCATTCCAGTACGCCCGCATGGGGAACAACAGTATACTCGCCAAAACTGGCACCGACGGCTCGGCTGAGGGCCGTCTGCTCGCAGGCCCCTTGGGGAGTTCGCACTGGCAACTAAGGAGAAAAGGCGCACTTAAGGCCCTTCCCTTTACACACAGCCAAAGGCGTTTACCCCGATCTTTTTTGGAATGTCCTGGTTCTGGGTGGTTAAACACAGCCAAAAGCGGTTACCCCGATCTTGTCTGGAATGTCTTGGCTCCGGGTTGTTGCGTTTACCCTGATCTTTTCGGAATGTCTTGGTTCTGGGTTGGTAAACACAGCCAAAGGCATTTGCCCCGATCCTTTTCGGAATGTATGGGTTCTGGGTTGTTAAATAATGCCAAAGGCATTTACCCCGTTCTTTTTTGCAATGTCTTGGCTCCGGGTTGTTAAACACAGCCAAAAGCGTTTACCCTGATCTTTTCGGAATGTCTTGGTTCTGGGTTGGTACACACAGCCAAAGGCGTTTACCCCAATCATTTTTGGAATGTCTTGGGTCTGGGTCGGCAAACACAGCCAAAGGCGTTTACCCCGATCTTTTTTGGAATGTCTTGGCTCCGGGTTGTTAAACACAGCCAAAGGCGTTTACCCCGACTCTTTCTTTGGAATGTATTGGTTCTGGGTTGTTAAACTCAGCCATGGGCGTTTACCCCGATCTTTCTTTGGAATGTATTGGTTCTGGGTTGTTAAACTCAGCCAAGGGCGTTTACCCCGATCTTTTTTGGAATGTATTGGTTCTGGGTTGTTAAACTCAGCCAAAGGCGTTTACCCCGATCATTTTTGGAATGTACAGGATCTGGGTTGTTAAACACAGTAAAAGATGTCAAAGGCTATTACCCCGAGCTTCTTTGGAATATCTTGGTTCCGGGTTGTGAAACACAGCCCAAGGCATTTACCCCGATCTTTTTTGGAATGTCTTGGCTCCGGGTTGTTAAACACAGCCAAAAGCGTTTACCCTGATCTTTTCGGAATGTCTTGGTTCTGGGTTGGTACACACAGCCAAAGGCGTTTACCCCAATCATTTTTGGAATGTCTTGGGTCTGGGTCGGCAAACACAGCCAAAGGCGTTTACCCCGATCCTTTTTGTAATGTCTTGGCTCCGGGTTGTTAAACACAGCCAAAAGCGCTTACCCTGATCTTTTCGGAATGTCTTGGTTCTGGGTTGGTAAACACAGCCAAGAGCGTTTCCCCCGATCTTTTTGGAATGTCTTGGTTCTGGGTCGGTAAACACAGCCAAAGGCGCTTACCCTGATCATTTTTCGAATGTCTTGGTTCTGGGTTGGTAAACACAGCCAAGAGCGTTTCCCCCGATCTTTTTGGAATGTCTTGGTTCTGGATCGGTAAACACAGCCAAAGGCGCTTACCCCGATCATTTTTGGAATGTCTTGGTGCTGGGTCGGTAAACACAGCCAAAGGCGTTTACCCCGATCTTTTTTGGAATGTCTTGGCTCCGGGTTGTTAAACACAGCCAAAGGCGTTTACCCCGACTCTTTCTTTGGAATGTATTGGTTCTGGGTTGTTAAACTCAGCCATGGGCGTTTACCCCGATCTTTCTTTGGAATGTATTGGTTCTGGGTTGTTAAACTCAGCCAAGGGCGTTTACCCCGATCTTTTTTGGAATGTATTGGTTCTGGGTTGTTAAACTCAGCCAAAGGCGTTTACCCCGATCATTTTTGGAATGTACAGGATCTGGGTTGTTAAACACAGTAAAAGATGTCAAAGGCTATTACCCCGAGCTTCTTTGGAATATCTTGGTTCCGGGTTGTGAAACACAGCCCAAGGCATTTACCCCGATCTTTTTTGGAATGTCTTGGCTCCGGGTTGTTAAACACAGCCAAAAGCGTTTACCCTGATCTTTTCGGAATGTCTTGGTTCTGGGTTGGTACACACAGCCAAAGGCGTTTACCCCAATCATTTTTGGAATGTCTTGGGTCTCGTTCGGCAAACACAGCCAAAGGCGTTTACCCCGATCTTTTTTGGAATGTCTTGGCTCCGGGTTGTTAAACAAAGCCAAAGGCGTTTAACCCCGATCCTTTTTGGAATGTACTGGTTCTGGGTTGTCAGACACAGCCAAAGGCGTGTACCCCGATCTGTTTTTCAATGTCTTGGCTCCTGTTTGTTAAGCACAGCCAGAAAAGCGTTTACCCCGATTTAACATGACCTAAAGTCCGATTAGGCATCGCCCTCCCGCATTCGAAAAAGCGAGCTGCCACATGTTGCCCCATGCAGCACACGCCCCAATCACTCCCTCCAGTATAGTCCAACCCGATTCGGCAGATTAGGCAGCGCCTTCCTGCATTCGAAAACGTGAGCTGCCACATGTTGTGCCTAGACAGCACACTCCATGCCCCATGCCGCTTGCCTTTTTTTGGCAGGGGGGGGTGACCCTCTAGCGATACCTCTAGCGATACATGAATATCTTGGTTCTGGGTGAGCTATCACAGCCAGAAGCGTTTCGGAATATCTTGGTTCTGGGTTGGTAAACACAGCCAAAGGCGTTCACCCCGATCCTTTTCGGAATGTATTGGTTCTGGGTTGTTAAAAACAGCCAATGGCGTTAACCCCGATCTGTTGTTGAATATTTTGGTTCTGGATTGTTGAACGCACCCAAAGGCGTTTACCCCGATCTTTCTTGGAATGTCTTGGCTATGGGTTGTTAAACACAGCCAATGGCGTTTACCCCGATCTTTTGTGGAATGTCTTGGTTCTGGGTTGTTAAACACAGCCAAAGGCATTTGCCCCGATCCTTTTCGGAATGTATGGGTTCTGGGTTGTTAAATACAGCCAAAGGCGTTTACCCCCCGATCTTTCTTTGGAATGTACTGGCTCTGGGTTGTTAAACACGGCCAAAGGCGTTTACCCCGATCTTGTTTGGAATGTACTGGCTTTGGGTTGGTAAACACAGCCAAAGGCATTTACCGCGATCTTTTTTGGAATGTACTGTTACTAGTTCTTCCTACTCCTACTCCTACGGCTACTCCCTACTATCGCCAAGATACAAGTGAACTGTCTGCCCGTCTGTAAGAAAATCTTAGTGCGAAACGCAATGCGTTGATTATTGAACAGAATTTTCGAGTTCTAACAACATCCCTTCGTGCAAAAGGCACGTGTGATTCTAGTTTGTGTATCTGCCACAATGACCATGTACTTCTTCGGTAAAGAAGACACTGGAAAATGCAGAATCCCCACTTGAGGTCAAAAGACCTGAGGCTTCATCAAAGTTTGGTTGGTGACGCCCGAAAAAAGGTAGCCACGCAAAGTGTTTGCGTGGCAAACTTGAGGGGGGCGTCCTACTGCGAAGGATACGTTGTGCCTCCATCCCCACTCCGGCAGACTGCAGTGGACAGCTACCCGTGGAAATGACCCCGTCAAGCGGAGGTTCGCGTCAACCTGTTTTCTTTGAGTTTGACTTCTTTCCACATGGCTGAGCAAGGGGTCGGGCCACGTCCTGACATATGTGGGACGGCGAGAGAAGTGGCGTGGTTCGTGCAGGCGACGCCGACTTACAAGCGCAGATACTGCGTCTCGCGACTGACGAGTCGCTTGACAAGGCCTGCACGCTTGCTGGCGTTGTCGTGGTCCCGTCAACCCTTCGATGCTGAGGACGGGACACGACGTTTCTTGCAACAGCTGGCAGCTACCGC